TAATACAATATATTTTTAAATAAAAAAATTTTTATTTATTTTATTTTTATGCTAAGTTAGAGATATAGAGAAAATTTTGTTAAGTACTATACTTACAAATCATTTGCTCTTATTATTTATCTACTTTATATTATGAGTTTGAGTTGTGATTTTATAATTATCAAGACCAAACTAAAAAAAAAAAAAGAGAAGATAATAACAAAAGTAATAAACAAAAAATTTAAACAAGACTTTAGACTTAGAATCAATACTCTAAAATATAATCTACAAAATATAATAAGAAAATAAAATTTATTTGTCAATAATCTAATTTAAAAAATAGTAAACCAATTTATAATTTCAGTATCAAAAACAGAATAAACAAGGCTAAATAAAGTTAAAATTAATATAAAGAGAAGAAAAAATAACAAAAAAAATAAAATTAAATAGCAACCTACAGGGTGAATAAGGAAAAAAAATAGCAAACATAAAACAATTGAAAAAAAAAACCAAAATTCAGAAACTAAAAAAAAACATAAAAAAAGAATAGAGAATTAAAACACAAGAGTGGATTGCCAATAAAAAATAAGAAAACAAAATAAAATATTGAATACAAGCAATTATAAAAAAATATATAAAAGATTAATTAGTAATAAAATAGATAAATTAGTAGAATAGAATATATATAATAATTTTATTAGAAAATTAATAATTTAATACTTAACGTTATTCATAAATACTGGTCTTTGTGAAATATAAATATAATTAAGTAGTACTGACAAGGCACATAGCTGCTGACCATTGACCAAAGGGAAAAAGTCCTTAGTAAGTTAAGAACCTAGAGAAAAGCTAAGAGCTACTGAGGCGGTCACACCTAGATGCAAGCCGAGTGAGTCTTATGTTTGGTTAAATTAATAATAGCTATAAATAGAAATTTGTATAATTTTTTAAATACGTACGTACGTACGTAGCTTAATCTCAAATAAACAAAGGCAAGATTACCGAATTATAAAAAAAATAAAAACATAACAGATAATAGATATTAAACACTACGTACGTACGTATACGTAGATACATTTTATATTATCTTTTTATGTAATTATATTTTTTAAAAATTTTTGATATGTTTATACTAATTGTTAGAAGTCCTTTTTTATAAAAATACAAAAATCTTTATAGCAATCAAATTTATTTTATAAAAAAAAAATTCAAAGTTATAAACTTTTTATATCAAATGAAAAAAACTTTTGACAAGCACTGCATTGGTTTATTTAAAAACTATATAAAATTTTAATATGTTACAATTATACGTATATATAAATTTGTATAATCTACGTACGTAGTAATATGTATATTTATACGTATAAAAAAAGATTAATAAACTTCTGGCATAGTTATTTTGAAAAAACTAGAGGTTTAAAATTTGAAGATGGTGGTAACAATTTTTATCGTTATACAATTCTTGTTTATTTTTAATCTCTTGCAAACACTTTCGTGTTCTTTCCTCTTTCTTCTCGCTCTCTAATTTTTGGTTATTTAGAAACACCTGCAGAACGTCAAGAACATCAGAAGTGGCATTTGCTCTTCCTCGTTATCATCATACATTTCGATATTTTTAAGAAGGGGTGGCATAAACTTGCACTTGACAGTTGCAGAAAAATGCAACGTTCACATTTAGAGTTTTTGATAACGATCATCTTTTTAAAACATTTGAACGTTGTACTACTTACACGTAAATTAATGATCATTGTACTTTGAGACGAAATCAGGGTCGATTTGCAAAACACAAAATTGTTCTTTAATTCTAAAAGAGAGGGTGTTGATTTTACAAAATCGATAAAAAAAATTTTTTAGCGGGCAAATTTGGCCCTCAAACGGTTTAAGGGATAAGCGCGTTTTTTTTCTTGTTTCAAACGATTACATCGGTATATGTGATAAACTTTTAAACCAAGTTTTGTTCTAACAGTGGGCAATTTAACAACGTTTATAGTGTGCGTATAAATCCTAAAGTTTTTTTTTTTGTTAACATGTGAGCATATATAGCATTTATTTTGCGTTGATCCGTGATCACAATGAGCAAAAACAGTTTAATTCGTCATATATTTTTTTAAATATAACCACTTTTGTCATTAGAGTACATTTACCCGCATGCAAACGCCAATCGCAATGATTTTTTTATAACGGCTTATTCCGATATTTGTACATATTCAACTTACAAATACGTAAAGCGCATGCTATAAATAGTTGTGTCCCCTCTTCGATGTTCCTACGGTGTGTATCCTCTATCGTTTTTTAAAATTCCCAGTAGTGTATAGTAAAATCCCTTAGTCGGAAATTTCATTGAAAATGATAGAACTGCGTTCGTACGAAAATACCGAAGTTAGTACATCCAAACCTCTATTATTTATGGCAACCGATTATTCACTTTGCTGAGTAAACATGACACAAATCTGTTCATTCTGTTTGTTTAACACCAAATCAAGAAACATACGTGCAAAATTGGTGCATCATTAAATTATATTTTTTGAGTGACGTAGATACATACGATCTTTGACTTACCAAATTTGAAGTTTTCGAAATAAAAAGTCGCACCATTTTTTTTATTCTCTTTTGATCGCGGTAAACTATAGTCTTTATTGCTTACATGGTTACACTTGCATAGTTCTTCCGATTTGTGGTGAAACATTAAATATATATTCTATTCCTTTGTTCTATCTTCATTTTCTTTTTCGTTATTCATATATTCTACATTTATTAATCTTCATTTAATTAATAAAAATGACTTGTCAAATACTCGCTGAAGTTCTAGAAAAAATTTTAGAAAATCTAGATGATGATAAAAATACATTGTTTTCTTGTATGCTAGTAAACCGTTACTGGTGTAAATTTGCCGCTCGAATTCTCTGGTCAAAACCTTTCCATCTTTCTTATTCTCCAAAACTTGTTCGTTCTTACCTTCCATTTTTCCCTCCTGATTCAAATGCAACTATCGGCTTCCAATCAGTTCAAAAATTCCAACCTCCATTATTTGATTATCCTTCGTTCATACGTAGAATTTCAGTATACTACATGTGTTGTGGAATAAGATCCTATATCTTAGACATTCAATTTCGTGATCAAGGTGAAACAAAACAACGTCGGTACACTGATGCTGAATGGATTTTATTCACTCGCCAAACTCAAAATTTATCTCGAGAACTATTCAAACTATTTTTAACTAGATCCCCAAATATACTTAGTCTCAATCTAGCAATGCAAGAACGTGACTTTTGTTTACGCGAAAATCCAAACAAGTTTCTTGCGTTAGATCGTTACAAATCTGCAAAATTCGCATTAAGTAAATTGCGTCAATTTAGCTCGGGTGGTGAAGGAAAACGATTTTATGAGATCTTGTCGAAATATTGTCATAATATTAGATCATTCAACATAATTTATAATTTTGGTGATTACTGTAAATTTGAGAATCTAATTAAATCACAACGACGTTTAGAACATTTACAAATTCATCATATGTCTTCACTCAAGGAAATATTAAATTCCTTAGAAACTCAATCTATGTCTCTACGAACTTTAGAATTTTGGGATTGCGTTTTTACTGATGCATCTCTAGATAGTGTCTCCAAATGTTGTAAACTTGAAAGAATCGTATTTCATTATTGTTCAAATTTAACTGCAGAACTATTACACCCGTTAAGTTTTGCCAAATTTCCAAATATTACAACTATTTATTTTAAATTTAAAGAGCATCTTGATCGTAAGGATAGACCAATAGATGAACTAGCAAATCTGATAGAAAATTCAAAATCAACTTTAACGGAAGTATATGTACTGGGTATTGGATACCCATCAATGAGAATCTTTCAAGCAATAGTAAATTGTAAAAATCTACAAAAACTTTCAATCCAGATTCAAACATTGGGTGAATTTCCGTTATTATTACATATTATGACAAGTTGTACCAAATTACATTCGATTTCTGTGCAAGAGAATCCAAAATTTTTCGTAGAAAATTTTTTCTTACCTCCAACTTCTAGTGGTTCAGTTGGAAATTCAATGGATTCGTATTTGGATGCAAACGAATTCTTACCCCAAATTTCTCAAATTCTTAATGAGGAAGTTCGTCACCTAGTATTGAATTTGCCTAATTGTTGGATCACACCCGATACGTTACGAGAATTTTTGGATAATTGTAAGGCAAATTTGGAATATATTCGATGGCAAAGTTTTGATAATATTCAATTGTTTGTGGATATTGTTGAAGAATATGGAAGGAAAGAAGGAAAAGAAATAAAATACGGAAATTGGAAATGGGAACAGTTTAGAAATAACGTGGGTCCTATTACCTTGGATGTTGAATTTCATAGACGTGATGTTAAGCCCTATAGGTAAATATCATAGTTGAGTTTTATGAGTTTTATGTTAAATTTACTTAATAATTAATTGGTTCGATTTAACTCATATAGTAGATGGGAGCAAGAATTTATATTACAACAAAACCTTATCGATTTGTTGCGATAAATACGATTCCTGGTTGACGTGTTGTTAAACAATTAAATTAAACAAATACAAGTCCTCATACTGATCACAATTCTGATTTTTTTTTCGTTATTTTAATATAGCTTAAATCTTTATCTTAAATATATATTCTAGAATTAATTATAATATTATTAATCAGTACTATTGTAAATGGTTCATACAAAAATCATTACCTAATTGTATTTGTACAAATAAAATATCTATTAATATATAGATAATCAGTATAAATTAACTACAAAAATATCTTCCGATGTTTTTTTCTTTTAAATTCAATTGTTTTAATTCTAGACTTTGTTGAAGCCTGCTAGATTTTGTTGGACTGGAGCCACTGGACTTATAAAACTGGAACATTAGACTTATAGATTCCAATCGGAATGTAAAAGTCCAAACTACCGTATACTGTTTGAATATCTTGATAACTATTGGTTACTCAACCAATTATAAATTTACATCTCAACTAAAATTTTAAATTTTAAACTATGTCGATGACATCCACAAAAACGAGACGTGCTGTACTTAACGCTTATAAATATCTATTAAAAACTCAAAAGGAAACATTTCATGGTATTTTCCTTCGAGTTTTCATTTCTTTTACATCTTCAAAAATACTAATGATGCATTAAAAAGGAGACTTTCTGGCAATATCTGGTGTGTATTTATTTTTTTTTACCTTTAATATAGTAATTATTCGCCATTAAATTAATTTACTTGATTTTTTTTGATGGTATAGAAGCAAGACGCAAAACATATGAAGAATTTTTAAAAAATAAAGATGAAACTGATGAAAAAGAGATCAATAAAGTATTCATGCTATCCTTAATCAATTTCCCGGTCTCCTTAACTAAATTGTTATTTATTCTACAATCACGCGTTTACATTATTCTACTATAGCAAATTAATCAAGCACTAGAAGCGGCTGAATTTTTAAAGTCAAATGTTATCCAGGCTGTATTCGACGAAAAAACAAACAGATTTAGTAAGTTTAATAACATGCTTCTGTTCAGCACTTATTACACATTGATAAACTTTTTCGAAATAAAAATTATATTAAAGAAAAAAGAATTATATGGATAGTTTTATTAAAGTTATAGGTCATCACTGTTAAAATTAGTATCTTAAAAAGTAATTTTATTTTATCCTTACTTTATAAATAAGAAAATATTAAAAGCAAATTTTTGCAGTGGGATGGTCTATAACTTTAATCAAACTATTTAAATAATATTTCTTTTTTAATATTTTTTTTATTTTAAGTGTATTTAAACTGTAAAATTAAATTAATATAATAGCTAGTAATATAAGCTTTATTATTAATTTGTTAATACTTTTAATTAGAGACAAAAATAACTAAAAATACCGAACTAGGTAATAATGAATCGATTAAAAA